GTGATAACTCTTTTCACTATAATTTGTAGAAATACTGAAGAAAAAAAGAGTATTTTAAAGGATTTTGTGTGCTGGTTACGAAAATGCTTAAAATTAAGTACAAAGAAAATTTATAGATTATATTTAGTTAAATGACTATGACCAGAAGAGACTGACATCTGTGAAAATTAATGGTAAGATGTTTAAGAACATTCATCTATGCTTTATTTCCTAGGATAAATCTATTAGCACAAGTTTACCTGTTCTAGATTTAATAGATGCCATTGCACCAAATGCAGTTCGTCAAGAAATGATCAAGAGAGAAAACTTTTCTGATGAGGATAAACTGAACAATGCTAAGTAAGTCTTTAGAACATAGTGGCCTTTTAATTCTCTCAAATCCTTCCAGGGAAAGGATTGTCTTCTCAAGATATTCAATTTCAGTCAAAATGTATTTTGACTTTTTTGTGTTACTCAATTGTCCAGTATATTTTTAAGTACAACTTGCAAGGGGAATATGATCTAAGAATCACAACTTTAACCTATCAAAATATTTAATTGTTAAAATAAATATTTTTATTTTACTGTGAAAACACTGTAGATATACAAATAACAAAATATTTTTCTTGTCTTTTCAAGATATGCCATTTCAGTTGCTCGAAAGATTGGTGCTCGGATTTATGCATTACCTGATGACCTCGTAGAAGTAAAACCAAAGATGGTTATGACGGTGTTTGCATGCTTAATGGGAAAAGGACTGAACAGAATAAAATAATGAAACTAATATGGTCATCTGCCACATTAAACACATTGAATGCCTCACAGTTTACAGAATTATGAAATGTAGTGGGTATCAAATCAGAGTATTTGTATGTTTAAAATAGATGTATTCATTAATGAGTTTAACATCCTATTCATATTAGTTAGAATTATCATCTTTTTGGATAACACCATTTACTTCCCAATAATATACTGACAGTAGAATGTTTGTTATTAAACTGATATTTCATGATTAAATTACTTTTGTTTCCTAAAAGTCTTAAAAGGCAAGATTAATTCATTCTTTTTCTATAGTTAAAAAAATCAGTAAAAAAAAAAAGTTTTTGCAGGTTCTGCTGTGAATGTGTTTTGACTTCTTTGGTGTGTTATTTAATTGTGATCTAATGTATTCAAAGTCATAATCCAGTCTAATCCTTTTATTTTCTTTCTCCAACTATGTAAAGTGGTCTAAAAATTTAACTTTCTATAAATTTCTATACTGTTTAAAATTTTAAAGTGGCAAGTATTGTTCATTAATATTAAAACTTTTTTACAAATGAGAACTAATCTTAAATAAATCACAAATTTCATTCTCTTGTTTAAAGAGCAGGAGCTTTTTCTTTAATTTAATTTAATTTCTTTAATTTTAATTTTAACTGTATTGCTACTTTAAACTCCTAGTTCAGTAATGCAGCTTTATCTATGGCATGTAGCATATACTATATGTTTGTAGGACGTTATTAGAGAAATATGTGCATGTGTACATATTTTGTACTTGAATTACTCAGTTTTGCTTAAATGGTATATATAATCAGTCAATCAGCCAACAAGTATTTATTTTGTCTCCACAATATATGTAACACTCCCTTTTGTGGATGTCTGATATGTGAAGATTTCTTTTACAGATACTCATTATGAATGTGCATATAGTTATTTCTCACCTGATTCCTTCCAAATACTTGTAGCAAGACATTGGCTAAAACAGGTGGATACTATCCTGTTAGCTTCATATACCAATAGTAGTTTAGGTGTATAATTAAACCTATATAATTTAGAAGATATTCAGTAGGCATATTCTATTAGTAAAAGTAACATAAAGCTAATATTCAACAAGAGTATTTTTACATTTCTTTCACAGTCTCCTATAAATTGGCAATGTTTGTTTAATGTTTGTGTTACTTAGGAGTACCTAAAGCTTGAGACCCATTTTTTTCACTGAATTTTTAACAGTAGGCCATTCTACTGCTTACAATTGAATCCAAAAATCTACTTCCTCCATCCCCCACTTTCAGTGCCAGTAAGCAATACTGCTATGCAACAAAAATGCTGTCACTTTATCTCAGTGTGAATGAATAGTTTAAATCCTCCTCCTCCTACTGATTAAAACAATCATGGTAAGAGTGAGAGTGACTTTGTGTTTAGAATAGAATTTTTTAAGTGAAATGATCAGTAGGTGGAATTTTGAAATATATTCTTCTACAAGAGATTTCTTTCCCTTTTATATTTTGATGATTGTTTTCTTATATGAAAATTATGGTATGTTATATGAAAATTAAGATATGTTCTCTTTTATGAGATTATTTAAATCATGCTTCCCTCTTTGATTTTTTTCATATTTACTAAGCTATCTGATTTAAATGAAATTTGGCACTTTAGAGAATTCTTTTTCCTCACAAAGTACATTTAATAAAACTGCTGTGTATGTAGAAATGTGTCAGTATTTATTTCATTTAAAGGTACAGCCTTGAAAATTAGTCTAGGGCAAACTTATTTTCCAGAAAAGAGAACAATTCCTAAATTAGTAAAATTAGATCCTTGCTTTGAAGGTGAGGGTAGTTATTTCCTATGAAGAATTTTATTAAAGACTGTATGATTACTACAAATCTAGTTTGAGTTGAATAATTTGAGTGAATTCATCAATTCATTAACATAAATGTATTGTCTTCTGTGATGGATGTATTATGTTATACATTAGGGATTCAGCTGAGAAAAATACACAGTCTTCTGACCTTATACCCTATTGGAGAGAAATGGACCATTAATAGGAATTTTAAATAGTGCAGTTGAAGAAATAAAGCAGGACCATGTAATAGAGAATGACTTGGGAATTGAGGTGTAGGTAAATTTGGATATTAGGGAAGGTCTCACTAATGATGTTTTATTTAGACTATGAGTGGTCAGTTCAGAGAACAAGAACAAAGACTCTCCAGCCTGGAAGAGACTTGTAAGCATTATAGAAAACAGGCAAATGTGGCTTCAGAGTAATAAAGGAGAGGGACAGTCGCTGAAGGTGTAGATATGGTCAATCCTATTTCTAGGACTAGATGTAAATCTGGATTTTTTACTTCTCTGACTGGAGTTATGACTGTTCTTTTGTACCTGTGATTTGGGTGAGTTGCTTTGAGTTAATGTGCTGCTTCTGAATCTTGAATATGATTGTTCATAACACTACCATTGGTTTCCATGTAACATGCAGAATTGACACATGTAGATATGTTAAAATATCCCAATTTATGCTAGATAGAGTTTACTAGAGAGGCAAGAGAAGATATTCTGCATCTGAGATGATCCAAAGGTTTGAAAAATAGAGTGCAGTTAGAACACTGGCTTACTCTGAAGTAGGTATAGCCCCCAAATACTTTGGAATGTCTGCTAGGATACCTTAAAGTAGGGTATCTTAGAAATTACTCCAGTGCCCTTGGGAGTCCTAAAGAATCATTTAAGTCCCGAAAGTTGAAAAAACTTCAGATGAAAGTGAAACAATACTTATACCTGTGTTAGGGTTGTTCTGCTACCGACTAAACATTTTGCTGGACTAAGTGTATAAGCATGTACACATAAATATGTAACTGTTCACTTGCCTTGAATTTAAAATGAGAAATTTTGACATTTCACCAGCAAACTTGGAACTGTACTGAACAAGACAAAAGGGGAGATTTGTCGAGAGGCAAATTCAATTGGTTGTTCATATTTTGAAGTAAACACACAGAAAAAGTTTGGAAAGGTAGGCAATCTTGGCATCTGCTAAGGCCTTTTAGACCTGATCTAAAGAGGACTTTCAGGGGAAAGTTCCATTTAGAATTGTGAGAAAAAAGTGTTGGCAGGGATAGGAGAGGAACAAATAACTTGACTGGGATAGGAAGTATTCCCCTCAAATTCAAGCTACTCTGAAGTAAATTTATGCATTGCCTTAAAACCTACAGCCTAAAAGGTATGATTTAGATTTTTTCCTGTAGTTTATTGTGGGAAGTAATAAGAATTAAAGATGTAATTTCCAGCCCTGCCAGGTGGCGCATTGTCTGTAATCCCAGCATCTGGGGAGGCTGAGGCAGGAGGATCTCTAGTTCAAAGCCAGCCTCAGCAAAAGCGAGGCGCTAAGCAACTCAGTGAGACCTATCTCTAAATAAAATACAAAATAGGGATGGGGTGTGGCTCAGTGGTCCAGTGCCCCTGAGTTTTCAATGCCTGGTACCCCCCCCCCCAAAAAAAGATGTAATTTTCAGTTTTCCCTCCTTACCTTTGAAAGGTGGAAGACAATAGCAACACTGGATAATGATTAATCTGCTTTAAATAAAATTTTGATTAAAAATAAATCATTCAAGGAAGTGGCACTTACTGAACGCTCCGCTGTTGCCCAAATAATAGATCCATCTTTTAAATTAAATATGCATTTAATAAATGTGGCCCTTGGAAGGATGGTGATGCACTTATTCAAATGCGACGGCGTCTTTTAATCATATGCGAATAAATGTGTGACAAGAATATTAGGTAAATTTCAGATCGCAAACTAATCGTTCAAAATATGTGTGTGTGTGTGTATGTAATATATATCCCTTAAAACGACATCTAGCCCAACGTCAGGGCGGACCAACCCACCAGTGTGTGGCGGCGGGACTTCGCCCCTGTTCTCAGGCAGAGCTCACCAGAACGCCAAGGACGTGGACAATTCCACCAGGGGTTTCGCCTATACGTTGTCGTCAGAGGCTCAAACAGATATGTGCTGCGTGTTTACTATTGTGCAGCAGCGGGCGCGGAGAAATTACTTCAAATCCGCAACCTGGTGTGAACAGCGCAGGCCAAGAGGCTCCCCATACCCCAACCTGCGCGGCGCCTTCCAGCTACCGCTCCTGGCGAGGAGTCAAGGCGGTGCGTCCTCCGAGCCCGCCCAGTCGCAGGCCACGCCCATCCCCACAGGCCACGCCCACCGGAGACCGCTGCCGCCGCAGGCTCCGCCCAGCTGGCCGCAGGCCCCGCCCCGGTGTCGTCGCTACCGCGGGGTAGAGGATGACGTGAGGAGAGTGGCGAACGTCTCCGGGAGCAGCTGGGCCAGCGGTTCCTACAGCCCCGGAGCCCGGCGTGCTCAGAAGCGCCTCTCGGAGCTCCTCTCCCACCGACCTCTCTTCCTCCCCCTGGGCCGGGCCGCCCCTGCGCGGCCCCTGCGGCTCCTGGCACGGCCCCGCGCTCGGCTGCCGCCCTGGCGCGCTCCACTCTGTCGTCCCCGGACGGGCGCGGACCTGCACGGCCCGGGCGACGGCGGCTGGGGAGGGGGCGCTGGCCCCGGGGCCGCGCAGGCGCTGCCACCAACCTGGGGCTGTCAGTGGAGGGCGAGTGCTGGTTCCGAGGGGAGGCGACGTCCTCCGGGGCCAACGGGCCGCACGCCGAGGCGGCCGTGGGAACGACTCATCCCTTTTCTAGCCCTGGGGCGGCGCTGGGGTCGGGGTCGGGGCAGATGGGGGCCCCGCCCCCGTCCCCTGGCCTGCCCCCTTCGTGGGCCGCGATGATGGCGGCCCTGTACCCGAGCACGGACCTCTCTGGCGTCTCCTCCTCCTCCCTGCCTTCCTCACCATCTTCCTCTTCGTCGCCGAACGAAGTGATGGCGCTGAAGGATGTGCGGGAGGTGAAGGAGGAGAACACCCTGAATGAGAAGCTTTTCTTGCTGGCGTGCGACAAGGGTGAGAGCCAGGCCCCTTTCTCCACCTCGGGACGCCCCTGCGCTCGCTCCTCTAGACCTCTCCCCTGCTGCAGCTTCGTGGGGCGCGCCCTCCCTGTTCCCGTGGCGGCCGCTGTCCCGCGCCACCTGCCCCGCGAGCGTGCAGCCGGCGGGCGGTGGGGTTGGGGCGCGCGCTCCGCGGGGTCTCTGCTGGAGGTGGCTTTGTGAATGATCTGGGCTAGGGTCAGAGCTTCCAGTCCGAAAATCCCCTGTCCTTCCCCTGAGATTCCTCCCACTCATGGGCTTTCACCTGGGGTGTGTGTGTGTGTGTGTGTGTGTGTGTGTGTGTGTGTTGGAAGATCCCTTCTTCTGTTAGCGTCTGCCGTCCAGTGACTTGGCCAGTGATGGTCGAATGGAATTAAGTTTCTCAGTATCTAGGTAGAGACACATGAAATAAAGACAGGTCTGGAGAAATTCTGCCTTAGTTCCCCAAAGTTTCTCGAAACTTAGGGAACATTGACCCTGAGTTCGTGCTTTTGGATAAAAAGGTTTATGGCTTCAGAGCCGCCTTTGGGAGATAGTAGTAGTGAAAAATAATTACAGGGCGAAAATACATGGAATATATTTAGTTTACTTTTGTTCTTAAAAAATTTATAAATAGGTCATTTTATGGCCATACGAAGAAGTCTTTTCACATAAACATGTTTTCGAGTGATGCATATAATAAAAGGAATAGGAAATTGATTGCCCTTACGCATTTTATTTCCTACATGAGGAGTATTGAAAATTTTGTTTCTAAATTTGTGCAGCTTGCTGTACAATGGCCATGCTAACTTCTTTAACTGTTAGAACTTTGCAGACTTCCAAAACAAACCCAAAGGGCAACTTACACTGTGGAAAGACTGCAGAAGATTTTTTAGTTTGTTAGCATAAATGACAGCCTTCCTAACCTCTCTTATTGCTTTTTAAGAATTTATTTGCACAACTTTTTGAAAACACATTGACATATCAACAGTCCACCTATATCTGTCGTCAAGGTGTTCTCAGGTAGTAGTATTAGTATTATGGAAGCATTTGTTAAGGTATACCATAAATGCAACTATAAGTAGTCTTGGGATTGCAAAGAAATAGAGTATATATCTATATGTCACAAAAATTATGGTCTGTTGATTATGTAAAATTTTTGGTGTTGCTAGAGTGGCTTGCCTGAGTTCTCTTCCCTCAAAAATTTTGTGATAGGGAAAGGGAAAAGATTGTGTTATACTAGAACAAATTAAGTGGCCACTTCAGCTACCCTAACCTATTATGTTGTGGTTATTTTAAAGCAAAGAAAGTATGTCAGGAAACAGAATTTGATATTTCTGGAAAACTGAGGACAGAGAGATGTCATAATGAAATATGATGAGAGTAACTATTTGTAGTGTGTATTTTAGAATTATTGCATGACATGTCCTTAACAAGAATTTTAATTGATAACTGTTTAATAGCCTATCCACAGTAGCTGTTGAAGCGTCTTGTCAGCTTCTGTTTTATAACATTAAGATTCTTGGAGAGATTTGGCTTTTGAGGATGAGTTGGAAATCAAATATGCATACCTTATCTCCCTATATAAATTTTTTAAATATTAAATGAGAGATTAAGCAGGTATTTTCTGTTTCAGGTATATTGAAACAAGTTCTTGGGTTAGATTTAGAAAAATGGTATATTTCTTACCCGTAATTATGGTATACATTTATATTTAAAAATAAGTTCAAGTTATGGTAATTTTTTGTTTACAAAAAAGAATAGTGTATTTTTAGGTTTGAGTGTCAATATTTAATAATTAAAATTTTTTTGTTACTCAAACCCAGTTTAAAAGTGAAAAATTTTCTGAGGTAGCTATAACTCTTACAATTATGTTAGAATTTCAGTAGACCAAGTAGCATACATTTACAAAAATGTATTGGGGTAGAATGCTCATGTTTTTCATAGATGATTTAATTTAATCCTCATAATTCCATGAATCAGATTTGTGTGTGTGTGTGTGTGTGTGTGAGTGTGTGTGTGTAGCTATCTGGCAATCACCACCATAATTTATCTGGTTATAGTTGAACAAATGAAAATCATTTATGTCAGAAGAGATATGCACATTTGAACTTAAGAGTTGGTAATTAAACTTGCTTTGTGTGGATATTTTATAAACCTTGATTTATGTATATTATTAATCTAATAAAGGTAGAAAGCAAGTATGCCACTTTTGTAGCACCAGAGCAAATCAACTAATGTCATTTCACAATCTTATTCTACATGTGTAAAATGTTTAAAATAATCCAATTGGGGAGAATCTAGGAATTCCTAAATTCCTAAAATTGTGTAGATGAGGTAGTTATGTAATGTTAGTAAATGGGTGGTCCTTTGAAAGGTGGGTACAGATTAAGGAGTAAACAAAGAAGTAGGAATAAGAAAAAAAAAAAAAAAGGAAAGGAAAAGACTTTATAACAGCTGGCTTTTAAGTAAATGAGTTCAATAGTTTTAGGCCATTGCCCATCCGGGTAGTAGCTACTATGACTGTTACTGATCTTCAGAGTGGGTTAGGTTCATGTCAGAGGTAACACTGGCTCTTTTGTTTTTGTAAAAAACTTAGAAGAAAACATTAATTAAAAGTTCCTGATCCAGCAATATGTCTGCCCCCACCCAATGAAATTCTCAGAAAGTACATTCATATTCTTTTTAGACAGAATTATACAATTCAGAGGTAAAGGCTAACTGAAACAAGAGCTGACTATAAATGTGTTGTTTTATTAAATAGTAGTGGTTCTCTCTGCCTATGTCTTTTTCCTCCCTCATTGAGAGTTACTATGGTAATGAACCTCTTTAAACCAGGTGAGTTTACGGTAGTCCGTAGGCCTACCAACTGGAAAAAAAAATTAATTTATGATTCATGTGAATTTTTCTCATTTAAAGTAATTGATTTTGGTACATATTTGTGAACAAGAACCCACATAAAGTCTTTAATTTGCTAAGATCAGTAATCAGTTCTTCCATGGAAGAAAGAGGTATGAAAGGATTCCATCTCAGCCAACTCTCCAGTGGTACTATTTTTGGGAAATTTAATTTTTATTTGAGTCAGAATTTCTTCTTGACATTTTAGCATGGGGCCAGAGAAAGAGTGGAAAGGGCAGAATTTCACTTCTATTCCCAGGCTTATCCTAGTTTGTATTCTGTCACATTTGTAATATGTTTTCTGGGTTATAAGGAAGAATACTTCAATGATGGCCTTCCTACATAAATTGTGTGTACCGTTGGACTAGGGATACTTTTAAAATGTGCAATATTTCTGGTGAAATGATAAAAGCTGAGTTTAATTAACACCTTATATATTTAATGGGACTTTTTTATTTTAGCTATTTGAGAAGAGATTTTAAATGTGAGGTAGGAGGGTGGTGGGAGAGAAAACTGCAGAGGACTGGGTATTGATGAGAAGTTTTATGTTGGCAGGCAGCACCTAGTGTAAAGAGGTATGTGCTGTGAAGGAAGAATACTTTGCAGAAAGGAGAGGTAAGAGGGTACCTTAGGCATCATTCTACAAATATTTCTCAAATTGTCCTCAATTTGTAGCACTTTGGAATTTTGTATAGGAAAGCTTTTCAAATCACCAAAGTTTTAGATGTACTACTTAGGAAATGTTGCCATCAGGTATGGTTATCTTAATAAAATAATGTTATTTTAACAAAAAAATGACTCACTTCACCAGTGTCTTGATGGATAATTCATCTATAACAGATTCATTGAGCAACTAGCTGCCTCACAGTTGTATATACTGACATTTCTTTGCAGTGATCCTACAAGTATATTTCTTAATATTATTTTTACTTTGCTCCTCTTTTCTATGTCATCAAAATCCTCTTAGCATATTCCTAATTGTGTTAAGGCATTGGAAAAGTGTTATCAATAAATTACTGACCACATTCCTATGTTTTAAGATTTTTTTTCCGTTAGGAAGATGATCTCTTGTGCTATAGTGAGGAGCAGTACAAAGAAAAAAATATGTTGTGTATAATAGATCTGACTGAAGGGAAGTAGCAAATGCTTATTTTAACTTAAATGGCTTATATGCGATTTGGAAGGTAGGATATTTCTAGTATAGAGCAATCTCTTGGGCATTAATAGATAAATAGGATGGATTGATGAATAGATAGATAGATAAATAGATAAACAAGCCAAACCCTTATAATTTCTATATTTCAAAGTTAAAGGGTGTTAAAAGAGGCAATTAATTGAATAAGTGTTGTAGCCTAAAAAGAAATATCTTCTTTACAGCTGATTCTATCAAATTTAGTGATACTGAGAAGTTTTAAGATCTAGGGTTAGTAATTTAATAGGTAATAAGAACTTTAAAAGTAATAAAGAAGTGATAGGTAGTGATTTTTAGGAGCCCAAATGAATGATCAAGACTAAAAGAATTCCAGCACCACCAATAATACTTAGAGATCCAGTAGAATTCCTTTTAATGCCAAAACATTTTCCTCTTAATAAAGTCTATTTTAAGCACAACTGGGAATATTTCAATTAGCATGTAATTGCCATACTCAGTTTGTTGTAGAAACTTGGTTTGAAAAGATTTAAATATTTTCTTTTTAGTTGTGGTTGGACACAATACCTTTATTTTATTTATTTATTTTTATGTGGTGCTGAGGATGGAACCCAGTGCCTTGCATGTTCTAGGCAAACACTCTACAGCTGAGCCACAACCTTAGCCCCTTTACAAATTTTTCGACAAATAAAATTATCCCACACTTTACTGCTAACTTAAATTTGGTTTATATAAAATTAAAACTGATCAACATTAATGGTCCCATTTCAGTAACAGTGAAATTTAACATCTTAATACCAGAAAATCAAATGAGATGTGCCAGTGAAGAAAGTTGCAATCACCTGTTCTCAATCAGTATTGTAACATTTCTTCATTGTATTGCTCAAGGGTTTATCACAGTTGGGCAAAGTGAATTTGTACAAAGGATCCATGAGATTTCTCTGGTATTTTATATACTATTTTATTTCTTTATTTTTTTAAAGAGAGAGAGAGGAGAGAATTTTAATATTTATTTTTTAGTTTTCGGCAGACACAACTTCTTTTTTGTTTGTATGTGGTGCTGAGGATTGAACCCGGGCCGCACATGTGCCAGGCGAGCATGCTACCGCTTGAGCCACATCCCCAGCCCCACTATTTAATTTTTTTAAAATTGCCAGTTGGGATTCACTACATTGATTTCATGACTGCTAATGGTTTGCAAACTGTAGTTTGTAAAACAGTGGTCCAGAATGATCATAGTGGGTGAGCAGGAGAGTGGCACTGGTCTTATAAGGGCTTTGTAGGCAATAACGTGATAGAAAATCAGGAGGACTGAAAGCTATATATGCTTTGAAGTTTTAAAAGGAATGGATTGAAAAAGTACGGCTAGAACAGGGGCAATGCAAGATACGGCAAACTGTGGCCCACAGGACAGAGCCACCTGTTGTGTAAGGCTTGTGAACTAGGATTGGCTTTTACATTTCATATAGTTAATTTTTTTTAATTTAAAGAATTATTTTATATCACATGAAAATTCTGTGAAATCCAAATTTCAGTGTTTATAAACAAAGTTTTATGGGAACATATCCACATTAATATGTTTACATATGATCTATGGCTGCTTTTGTGCTAAAGGTGCCTGCTTGAGTCATTGTGATTAGGATGTCCTGGCCCCAGAGCCTAGTATATATACTATCTGGCCCTTTCTCAGAACAAGTTTGTGGATCCCCATAATGGAATGTAAAGTATTATTAAAATAATATAAAACTTCTCTAGGAAGAGAGTCCAGTGTGCATTTAACTCAAGTTCAGTTATTCAAAAGTGATTAGGTGTTTTAAAGAGAGACTCAAGGAATAGACAAGTGCACGTATGGGGGCTCAGTAGAGTGAGGAAAGTAAAACATTACGAAAAGCAGGAAGTGAAAGGTTGGTCTATGTGAAACCAATCTGGGTTTACTAACTGGTACTAAATGGAAGTTAGGCTTCTACTTCTCACCACAGCTGGGAACAGGGGTCCTGTTCAGGTAACTGTTGGCTGGAACAAATACTAAATTCTTTTGGCACCCATGAGTTTCCTTAGGCAGGCACTAAGGATCACAGTAACTTTGTTACTGTTTCCTTCAAGGCTTTATTGGCCAAGGTTGAGACTTGGTGGAGAAGAGAGCCCAGAGAAGCTTGACTTTGGTCAAGGGGAGAATCTTTTTCAGCAGATGTATCAGTTAAGAGGCCATTTCCTTGTCCAGAAGAAAGATAATGGATGAGTGACATGTACAAGAAAGATAATGGATGGGGATATGTAGATGAGTTATGTGTGATACTTTGGAGAGGGGACCAAGATGACTTGCTGTTGAATTGGCATACTCCCTATGGAATGGATTGAAGAAAGCCTTTTCCTTCACTGAATTCTTTGACAACCATCAAGTCAAAACACTAAACAAACTATGTTGCATTTCCTTCTATAAATTTTTAAAAAACAAAAGATGAATGTCACTCTTGAAAGCAATTTCTGTTTAAAATGGAAATGCAAAATATATTTTTCTTATAAACACAGTCATGTTGAATTGTATCCCATGCTGTGTTAACTAGCTTCTTGCTGTGTATTTTAAGTTTCCCAACTTCTTTTATGTATACACTCATTCTAAAGTTAAAACTATTCTTCTCCTTTAACATGCAGTTCATCTTAAATGACTTGCAAACATAAACTTTGGAAATGAAGCAATATTTAAAAAGATAATGGCTGAAAACATTGAAGAATTAATCAAGGACAGAAATTCTTCTCTTAGAAAGCTTAGTGAGTCCCAAGTAGAAGTAATAATCCTCACCTAGACACAGAGTGATAACAAGGAAATACAGCTGAACTTTTATTTCTTAGTTACATTCTCCTGTTATTAAGACATTGACATAAATTCATCTGAGATAAGGTTTTAAAATGTTATTTTCCAGTAATGGTCTGTTTGTTTGATCACTGTTGATTCAACTTGTGACTAAGAGCATAACTTTGTGTCTACTGTTTCTGTAATGGAGCTTTAGTGCCTAAATATTAATTTGTAGTAATATGGGGAAAATACTCTTTTGTGATTAGTTTTATTCTGGAGTGAATTAAGGAAATATATTTTCAAGAAAACTACTCTTTAACTTGTTTTGGAACATGTGGGAACTGTAAGATCATAGATTAAAAGTAACAGCAAATTTTATTTGAAATTAAAACAAAATCTGTTACCTTTCCTATTCACCCAGTTCCTAAGTCTTTTCTCTTTCTGTATCATAAAATCACATTTCTTTTTTCTTCTGATTTCTACTCTAATTGTAATGGTTCTCTGTTTCTTATTCATAGATTTTTTTAAGAAACAGACTATATTTACAAGTCACCTAAATGGTTTATTCATAAATAAAGTAAAATGAGGCGCTGTAATTGTGGCTCAGTGGCAGAGCGTTTACCTAGCACAGATGAGGTACTGGGTTCAATTCTCAGCACCGCATATAAATAAATAAAATAAAGGTCCATTGACAACTAAAAGACTATTTTTTAAAAAGTAAAATGAAACAACAAGCAACCCTCTTGCTTTCTTTCTCTAATTAGCATTCCTCTTTTGATTTCTTTCCCCTAATCCTGCTGTGTATTTTAAGTTTCCTAATTTCTTTTATGTATACATAAAAAGTAGGCCCTTGGTGAAAATAATTATTCTCATTTTTCCACATGGGTTAACTGTTTTGTTGTAGGCTACCATCAGTTAGAAGGTAGTCCATCTGCTTCTGACAGATCAAGCAGTAGTTCTAGTCCTGCTTTAAGTTTTGTGATCTCAATGTTGCCTGGTCATTTAAAAGTTTCATCATTGAAGGGTGTGTGTGTGTGTGTGTGTGTGTGTGAGAGAGAGAGAGAGAGAGAGAGAGAGAGAGAGATGGGAGGAGAGGATTTTCAGGCAGTTTTACCTCTTACTATACATACACCATACTTATATATTCAAACTGCTTTTTCAAAAGTATGCTTTCCCTATAAAAACTCTTTGTTATATTTCTAATTATTACTGAATCTCATTTTTAACCATTGTGATATATGAGTAAATGTGTATATAAATTTGAGCTATAAAACTTATTCTTTTAAACTTCTTATTTTTCTAGCTGCCAATCTCTATTTTGGGGTGTTCTTTGTTAAATTGTTTTACATATCTTCTACAAGCTTCTTTCCTTATAACCATCCAGGTCAGAATTTTAAACTAATAATTTTTATTTCATACTGCACAATAAAAAATTTTTTACTTACATTTTACATTTGCTATTGGTGTGATTGTTATTTTATCAAGATATAAGTTTTTACCTAGGAAATGTTCACATTTTCTGTGCACAATTTCTTATACTAAAATGAGTTTAGATATTTTAAGTCTTTTAATTCCACAAGCTAAATTATTCTTTACAGTCATTCTTATATTTCTTGGATATTAAATTATGTTTGTATATTGTTATTTAGGTGACTATTATATGGTTAAAAAGATTTTGGAGGAAAACAGTTCAGGTGACTTGAACATAAATTGCGTAGATGTGCTTGGGAGAAATGCTGTTACCATAACTATTGAAAACGAAAACTTGGATATACTGCAGCTTCTTTTGGACTACGGTTGTCAGGTACAAGGCTAGATAATTTTATCCAGTAGCTTCTAAGAAATGTTAGCTATACCATGTTTTTACCTTTCTTTCTAGTTTACTTTCTTCTTTTTATTTTCTTCCTTTCTTTTTCACTGTTTGTGTTTAAGCCACTAAGTAGTTTAAAGAAATCAAAAAATGACATTTTATGAAGAATAATTTTTTGAATTGGTTTGTCTTTTTCATATTAACTCTCATTTTCCCCTATATCACATAGAGCTATATTAACATGAATCATTAAAGATGATTTTGTTTTTATTACCTGTATCAATCCTATTTTATTATTTACCTATATATAGGACAAATGTTCTGAAGTGTTAGGAGGACAAGTTTTTATGTGCCCCATGTTATTTACAATCATGTGAATGAAATAGACTGGTTTACTCACTTCCTCTTTGTTTGAAATGTAATGTTTACTTATGTATGAAAATGAAGATTTTTTTAACTAAAAAAAAGATACCTTTCTGTTTGTCTCATATCAGTTCAGGTGCAAAAGTAGGCATGTATGTAAATTTTGAAGAATTCAGTTTGGAGATGCTGAAAGGAAATTTAATAATAATATATTTTCCTTTCCTTTTTTGATTTGCTTCTGATGGGACTTAGCACATGGATTTTGGCTCTTTTTTTCCCTTAACTAGCACACATAGATATACTTTTTAAGTGGCATCAGAAAGCACTCACAGCATATTTTCTAAAGGCACATACATATTCTGTATAATCTCTATTTTATCTATTCTAACATGGTACTGTGTCTACATATATATTTGTAGAGTACAGAAATTGCTTACCCAGGAACTTCAGCTATCCAGAATACAACTAGGAATAAGAAAGAATAAATAAATACCTCTGACTAGCCAGAGTAGGTGTGATGAAGTTTCTAAATTAAGTTTAATTGTATGAATACTTCTGGAGCCCCCGTTCAAAATCTATTTTTTTTTCTCATTTTAGATTCCATGTCAACAGATTTAATTCTTAGTTTTCCAATCCAGAGAGAATTCAAGGGGCAATAGAAAGGGGGCGCTAGAACTACAATGGAACAAAATGAGACATGGTTCTTCTGGGATATTTTATAAAGAGGTCAATAGCATTACATTTCTATTCATCTCTTAGAGGAACTATGTATTAGAATGATAATTAAGGTTTATAACAATGGCATAGACTCAGCAAGAAAAAGTTAAATTATATTCAGTACCTATTGTTTTAGAAGAAAGAAGAATATATTTATGTAGTACTCATAAAAGCAGAAGATTTCCACCAAAATGGTTTCAATTTTAGTTGAACACTTAAAGGCATAAGCTTCAGTTATCTAGAAAATAAAGAGATAAAGAAATTCAGTCCCTGATAATTCTGGATAAAGAGGTATTATGGTTTAATAATTTTGTGTTTTTACATATATGGTTATATGTATATAATGATTCTGTACTTCATACATGTTTCTTTCACATTCTTGATCATATTCAAACATCACAGTTAACTTATATAAATGAAATCTTTTATAGATCAGAAAACTGAGGCTCATAGACTTTAATGAAATGCCCGAAGTTCTAAAATTATTAAATGCAAAACTAAGATTTGAATTTACTCTTCTGACTACAAATCCCATGCTCTTTCCAGTTCACAATCTCCTCACGAGGTTACCTCATTCTCATTCTATCAGTCAACAAAAGTTCAAGGCCTTTGCTTGTGTGTGATTGTGAAAATGAATAAGTAAAATATGGATTCTGCACTAAAGTATCTTCAAATGAATTAGACAAAGTGCATATGAATTATAAATCAACTAAATAATACAAAGATGTATTTGATGAGTTTTGAGTGGTAATAATGCTTTATTTTTATATGTTGTTTTACAGTTACAAAATGCTTTCTTGTGCTTATCTTGTGTTATATCAATGGTTTTCAACCAAATGATTTTGCCAAGGAACACTTGGCAATGTCTGGAGATATTTTTAGTTTCACAATTGGGGAGCAGATTACTAGTGGTATTTAGTGGGCAAAGTTTAGGATGTTGCTGAACATACTCCACCACAGAGGACAGCTACCACAAGAAAAAAAATTCTGACCCCAAATATCAATAGTGCCATTCTTGAGAAAACCTATTTTATACTTAAACTCTTGAGGCTTAATATAAATATTTTAGAAATATAGAAAAGACAATGATCACTATGTATGGAAGCTATCATTAAGTAGTGTTTCATTGGAAGAGTATCAGTTGAGCTTAGCCTTGAAATATTAGTGTTGCTAACACTTATGTAGCACTACACCATGAGTAACCTTATATATATTCACTTACTTAATCCTCTCAACAGCCCTAGGAGGTAGATACTACCATTATCCCTGACTTACAGAGGAGGAAACTGAGGCTCAGAAAGATTAACTTGCCCAAATTTATTGTATATGATAGACCTGGCTCCGTAGTCTGTGCTCTTACCTATTACCCTAATCTACTCTCAAATATTTCTAGGTGGATAAGGAACAAAGGATGTATAGAAGGACATAAGTAAAGATATGTGCAATGTATATTCTTGAGACAGCTTTTTGGAACAAAATATTTGGGTTGCAAAGTAAAGGGAATTATCAGGAAAAGTAACTAAAAGAAAAACTGATGAAAAAGGCCTTTTATCCTAGACTGAGGAATCTGGGTTTTATGTAATAGATAGTGGGGTATCATTAAGTGATTTTAAAGAAGGGTATGCTATGTGTCCAGTAGTATTTTAGAAAGTTAAATCTAGTGATCGAATTTAGTATAGATTAGAAAAGTGGAGAAGGGTGTAGCCTGTGTGAGCAGTTATATAGTAATTCAGATTTGAAGATGTTAAAACTAAACTAGAAAAGTGGCTCTAAGAAGAATAGTTACTACAAGAAGAATTAAGACAAGACAGATATTAGAGATCTATGAAAGAAGAATTGAAAGATTTCTTGAGTGTTTAAATCTGGAGGGGAGAAAAGAGGAGTTGAAGATTACTTGAAAATCTTAAACATGGATGACTGAAAGAAGGATGAAAGAAAACTAGCAAGTTGAGAAATCAGGCTTGGTGCAAAGGAAAATGACTTCTGATTTTATGGTTTTAGCCTTATCTATTTGAGGACTATCAAGCAGTTCCCAGCAGTCACAGGTGAAGATTTGTATCTCTAGGGACAGGTTTAGATAAAGAGAGAAATGTAGGCAATCATAGGCATTCAGATGACCATTGATGTTACAAGCAAAGGTCTGCTGCAGACTTATTCTTAGGGAGGCCTACATTTAATAAAGGGCATTTGAAGTAAAGGGTTTCATTAAAGGGGACCAGTGAATAATTGAAGATGTCAGGGGCAGTTGAGATAGTACGAAAGGCAAAGAAAAGAATTTTTAATATGTTGCTTATAAATCAAGGAAAATGAGGAGATAGAAATGGGAATTGGATTTTGAAAGTATGGGTTGGGTAGAATTAGAGAAAATGATGCATGTTGATTTGAGAAGTTTGACACATGAAAGGAAGAAGAAAAGGTGAGTGATAAGAGATAAGATCAAGTTAAGTTAGCAAAGAGCAAGGAACAATTTAAAGTTGTGAGAGGTGGGAGTTGGAACCAGTATTTTTTTTGAGGGGTGGGCAGGTTGGAAGTTCCAGGGATTGAACCCAGGGGCACTTGGCCACTGAGCCACATCCTCAGCCCTATTTTGTATTTTATTTAGAGACAGGATCTCACTGAGTTGCTTAGTGCCTTGCTTTTGCTGGGGCTGGCTTTGAACCTCGCAATCCTCCTACCTCAGCCTCCCAAGCCACTGGGATTACAGGCAAGCGCTACCACTTCCATCCTGGAACCACTATTTTTGCCAATGGAGGACCATGGTCTTATAGAAGATTGGAGAACATTAACTAGAATACTAAGTTGGAAAATTAGGTTTGGAAAGGAAATAACTAGCTTCTTACCCCAAGTTTAGAGGAAAGAGTATGGGAATTGTTGAAAGACAAACTCTAAGGTGAGAAGGAAGATAGGGACCTCATAAATACATAATGACATTTGTATTGAAGCTATTTTAATAAGGAATTGTCAGATGTCTGAGAAAGTGGGAAACAACTAGCAAGGATATTTTGTATTCTTGTATATATTTTGAAAAGAATTTAAAATACTTTTCCTTCATAACAGCCACTATTTATCAAATAACATATTGTTTGTACAGAACAAATCAATGGTAACTCCTTATTTACATGACATTTTTATACAAATAAATATTTTATAGCTGAAGCTTATCCTTTTAAGCATTGAGATACATAATATAAATATTCTTTACTAAGTAGTATATCTGAATATAATTTAACTATAATACCATAAATTGGAATAATTGAGAGTGTAATCATTTTACTTTGCTTCATATGGTCTAAAACTATTAACATGTTTGTCGCTATGTCAGATGTCTTCAGACTGCTGTGTATTGACAGAGATTTTGCTACACTGCTATTTTATTTATTCACTAGCCAACCCTTCTCCCCTTTGTTGATTTTAACCTAGCTGTTCCCTTATGCAGTAAAGATCTGAAGGATACTTGGGAAAGCCAGATATCCATTATTTATAGACAACTCTAAGACTGCATGCTTATACCTATACCTGTTTCTTCTGGGCAGTAACGCTCATGAAGTTATTTGTGACAACTCAGTAAAAGTTTGTGTGTGTGTGTGTGTGTGTGTGTATGTGTTAAGTTGTGGCTGGATCAATGGCTATGTTTCAAATGGTTGAGATTGCCTGGTATTTGATTTTGAGAGCAACTATAATAATTATTTTATGGTTGAAATTTAAAACCACAAATGAAATATTTATTAGTAATGGGTACAGGGTTCTTTTTTGTTTGTTTGTTTGTTTGTTTAACTTAATATGCTAAAACTGAAGAAAAATGTTTACAAAGTAGAAGAATAATGCTAAGACTTGAAGTCAAGGGCTGTATAGCCCAATGAACCCTAATTTATTTATTTTTTACATGGTGTTGAGATTGAACCCAGTGCCTCACACATGCTAGGCGAGCACTCTACCACTGAGCCCCAACCCTAGCCCCAACCCTAAAATTTTTAAAGGAAAAAAATGATGGATTAAATTTCACATTTGGGTAGGAAGTTTTTTCTGAGAGAGAACTTGGGTGATTGCTAATGTTGAATGGGGACTTCAGCCCTTTCTTCCTGGGTATAGTACTATTTTTCAATGTCCAGGTAAAGTCTGTCATTTTTAGCTCTATTTTTGACATTTGGATAAAGTGGATAAAAGCTTTATTCTTTTCAGCTATGAAGAACTATTAAAGGTCTGATATAATTTCATTCTCCAGAGCAATAATGTTGATTTATTTAAATAGTAAAGATTATTACAGTTAAAAATGAACAGATTGAAAATAACCAGGGCATTTTTAAAAATTAAACATTATTTATTCCCATGTTTTCCTTTTGTCTTTATGGTTTTCCTTAAATAAAAAACCCAAAGAAAGCAAATTCTGTTGTCATGGTTGCCAAAAGGACTACAGACTGTTACAGAGAATCAAAAAGTTCTTATTTCCTGTGAATCTGTTGACTTTTCCTCCTGTCAGAAGTGGGTCTTCACAATGAGCTCTAGGTTGAGAGTAGAACTATAAAATCACTTCTTTTTCCTGCCCTTTATATGCTTTGGCAGCTTAAAATTCTTTGGGTTTATACTTGATGATAGTTACTATTAATGCCAAATTTGTACAACTTCTTTCAGCCATGTATGTTTCAAAGATAAGAAAAGAGTGCTCTCCCCTTTAGAACTTTTTTACTTTGCCCTGTTCTCATGATTGCATTGACAATGATCATTTTTGTTAGACTGAACATAATTCTTTGCCTGTAGTAATGGTTCCTATCAATAATCTATAGATTTGGAACATTAAGATTTTTTTTTTTTTTGGTCTGCAGTTCAAGAGTAAAGGTCTTGAAAAAAATTTATCCAACTTTAAATACTGCATGGATCAGCACTACTCCGCTAGTAATCCCTTTGATTAAGCATTCCTTATTTTATCAACTCGTGCATTAAAACCAGAACAGACAGTGTGTATTGTAGTACACAGAAGTACTGCTAAGGAAAGCACATGTACTATTTGTACAGTTTTAATTTTTGCAAATTCAGTATTACTGTATATAATACAGTTTAAATTTTAAAAAATAATTTTATTTATGAATTAGTAAAAAAATAAATAGTTTACCTTTTTATCTTCCATTTTCTTTTTTTAACTTTTTTTTTTTTGAAGTCCGCAGATGCACTTTTGGTGGCAATCGACTCTGAAGTAGTGGGAGCTGTTGATATACTACTTAATCATCGACCAAAACGGGCATCAAGACCAACTATAGTAGTTAGTACTCTTAAATATTTATTAATTTGGATTTTTAAGCCAAAGTAGATCTCCTGCTCCATTGCCATTTTTTTTCTTCCCCCAAATTTGTTTCGGTTTTTTAAAAAGTAGATTTTTTTCACTTGTAAAGTATTACCTTAAAGTAAATAGACATTTGCAATAATAATTAGTATTGCTTTCAGGAAAACTTTTTAAAATTAATTGACATTCCCATAATTTTATTATAATGGACACTTTTAGTCTAGAATATTCTGCAGGTAATGTTGAAAATATAGGCTAATTTCTAGATAGACTTAAGAATTAAATGTACACCATAAAATTATTCAGTGAAACTATAAAACTGGAAGACAATGTAGATGAATATTTAACTGATTAGGAGTAAAAGGATTTTTTTTTAAAGCATAAAAATAATGGGCAAAAATTACAGTGGAACAGTCTTTGGCTGTTATATACATTAAATTGATGGAATCCAAACATTAGGCAAAATTTAGAAAATGATGGAAAACTGGCAAAACATACTTGCAGCAAATATCTCAAATTAGTAATCTTTGTTTTAATATTAGATAAATTAACGGAAGACATCAAATCATATTACAAAATGACAAAAAATTCATAAAAATAAAAATAAAATGTTAAACCTTACTGATAATCAAATGTGAGATACTAATTTTTGCTTATTAAATTACAAAAAAATCCCCCCTTTTTTTTGAGATAGGATTTCACAATGTCGCCTATGCTGGTCTTGAATTTGTGGGCTGAAGCAATTCTTCTCTGCAAGCCTGCCTAATGAGTAGCTGGGGCTACAAGCATGTACTTAGCAAATATTTTTAATGATAATCATTGATGGCAAGGGAGAAGTAGAGGTTTATGTGCTGGTGGAGGTATTTTGGAAAACATTTTGGCAAGATGTGTCATAAACAAGAAAGCTGTCATATTCTTAGTGTTTTCTCCTCTAGAAATCTGTGAAGGATATGGTTAAAAAATGGATAAAAATGTTGATTACAGCTTTATTTATAGCAGTGAAAAACAATGCAAGGTAACACAAGTTTAAACATTCTAAAAATAGCTCAGTGGTAAGGGCTTGCTATGAATGTGGGAGACCCCGGGTTTGATTCCCAGCACCAGGGTGAAGAAAATAAACATCTTAAAAGAAGATAGGAAATGTGAATAATTATGTGTACACACAGTGAAATATGCAGTCATTAGAATGCTATTTTAAAAAGAATTTTTTGAGGGGCTGGGGTTGTGGCTCAGTGGTAGAGCACGTACCTAGCAAATACACATGCGAGGCCCTGGGTTCGATCCTCAGCACCACACAAAAATAAATAAAATAAAGGTATTGTGTCCAACTATAACTAAAAAATAAATATTTTTAAAAAGAATTTTTTGAAATATGTAAATTTATGATGTATTAAGTGGGAAAAAATGGGGATAATGAATTATACATGTTATTTGATCCAATGTTAAAAATACTGAATAAAAGACTATCTAAATGTAGCAAAATTTTCATCTCTTGTTGCTTGACCAAATTAAGTATATTTTTTCTTTAAAATATTTTCTTTATTGCTGTTTAATTAGGATAGCATTAATAATCAGATAAATACTAATTTAAAAATAAGATATATATTGTACATCAAGTTTTTAAATTGTATCATTTATTATTTATGAGGGCAAAATGAAACAGTTTAAATAACTGCTGGGAGTATAGATAGGTTATATACAGAAGAAAAATAATGTTTTAAGAAATAATTATAAATTTGTAGCAGACTATGTGCCATGATCTGAGAACTGTAAGAAGCTCTGCCAAATTTCATCCTTTATCATAATTGAAAATTTTTACTTTCATTTAGACTTATAAGAATGTGACTTTCTGGGTTGGTGGTGTAGCTCAGTGGTAGAGGTTTGCCTGGCATATACAAGGCCCTGGGTTCAATTCCCAGAGCCACAAAAAATAAAACAACACTATAATAAAAACAAAAATGTATGACTTGTTGCAGAGGATATTACCATCTAGTTTAAGTAGTGGTAAGAAACTAACAGGAATAAAGAAAAAAGAACTAAGACTATAGTCCCTATCCAAAGGACCAGAAATATCTGGAATCCTATTGAATTTTCTGCCATTTATCTTAAAGTTACTATCATATTTTGGTCTACCTGTTATTCCTAGCCTTTCAACCCATTTCCTTTCTTGAGTGGCAATGTGGAGTGGAGTGCACTAAATATTGAAACCCCTAACTAGTATTATCTTATCACTGTTACCACTGTCAGTTAAATCTTAGAGTTGCATGACTTTGGCAGTCCTCACCTAATCAGTGTGAAAACACTGTCTACTCCAACAAATGAAGGTTATTCAGTCTTTATCTAAATACTTCCAGTGTCAGCAAGATCATATTTAATAGCCCTATTCTGCCAGATAGACAATATTAAATTTTTTTTATATTTTATTTTACCACTTCAGTGATTTCATTCTCTATTCTTGACTTGTCAAAATTTTATTTTCCCAATTGGCTTTCAAATACAGGTTATTTGATAATACATAGACTTATGTTACAAACAATGAACTTATGGATATTAATCTTATGCATGTCTTAATAGTGTTTTTCATATAGTTAAATGTTGCATAAGAAGCATGAGGACCACTTTTCTCTTAGGATTTTTCTGTTAGGACTAAATATAATTTTCTTCATGGCCAATAATGCAGTAAGAGGGAAAATGGTTAATTTTAGGTTTCTCTGTAATTGTTAAATTCATTAATTTGAAGTCTTCAATAAGTAATTGGGAAGTGTCCATACAAACTATTCATAAAAGGGGAAAAACAAAATTTAAAAAGTATATTGTAAAACATTAAAATTTACCAGTAATCAAAGTAAAGCAAATTAAAATTTCATAATGATGTTTTTCATTCATAAATTATAATTTATCTAACTTACCCAGCACTGGTGAGTAAAACTTTAGGGTAAAATGAAAACTTTTTAAATATTATTGGTAATATAAGCTACTAAAAGAACTGTGATATTAATCATTAGGAGTGTCAAAACTGTTCATGATCTTTAGATCTATAATTCCACTTTGTGTTGGAGTGTCTGTGTTAATGAGATAATCCTAAATTTGCAAAAACCGTTTTCATAAAGATGTTTGTTATAGTGTTATTTAAATTAGCAAAATATCTTGAACATAGTCTATGAACTTCCTTAAATTGCATGTAAAATTATGAACATTAATTTTTTTCCTTGAAGATCCTGGGGTATAGCTTTATAAGATTATTAAAAATTGTCCTTGATCTTTGAAAAAGTAAGAATTGTGGTTTTTAACTACTGGTGTTTAGCATACCTATTATTTATTCAAAAGATGTCTTTTAGAAAGGGGTGTGATAGAGAAAGGACTAGAAGGAAATATTGTACTGTAAAATGTTATTTGGATAGAAGGAATATAGGTATTTTTATTCTTCTTTCTGCTTTTCTATATTTTTCAGATATTTTATATTGAGTGTACACTACTTTTACAATGTTAATAAAAATTACCAAAATGTGAACTTGATCAGCTTACCCTGGATCAAACAGCTCTCAGGGAAACCTCTGCGAAAAAGTGAGAAGTATTGGAAAGAATATACAATAGTCATAAAATAGTCAACCTTTTTATTTAACCTTGATCCTTTGATTACTAATATTTTTTTCCTCATTTCATGTCATCCTCAGGCCCCTGTGCCCACGAATTAGAAGGAGCTCAGGCTCCTGGTAGTACAGACCTGGATTCTGATCAGCACCCTGCCACTCCATTGTGTGGCTTGGGCACATTAACTTCTCTGAGCCTCAGTTTCTTCATGGGGATTAATTATGCTCAGTTTTATAGGCTACTGTGAGGATTAAATGAGATGATAAATGTAATGTGCTAATAGTTCCAGGACTCATTAAATAGTAACTGTGATCGATAGTGTTTTTGTGCATTTGCAATAGGAAGTAGTATAGGTAAAGAACTATACAGAATGAAGAGTGCTTCCTATTCTTTTCAAGTAGCTTCATTGCTATCAGTGTGACAAGCTTTGTCATAAAGGTGGAATTTTTAATTTTTCTCATGCATTTGTACTCTGTTTTTAACATTTCTGTTTTTTCATTATATTCTTTTTCTAAAATTCTTACTCTTTTTCCTTCTCATGCATGTTCTATAGTCTTGTAAAAATTAAATACTTTTTTCTAAGGTATTTCTCTAGTTAGCTTTACTTCTTTTTTTCTTAGAAAATAGAACTCTAGTTATATGAATGTTTCCTACTGAAGACTTTGTCTGTTATGATTATACTCCATTTATTAACTGAATTAAGTTTTGAGGTTTCAAAAAATGTAGTCCAAGTATAATGCTTATCATATTCTTTAAAATAATTACTAAGTTCTTTGTGCCTTCCTATTTTTTTTCATTTCATTCTTCAGATAAATATTTTTTGAAGTCACAAATAATAACTTTTGGACATTTATATAAATATTTTTCAGAAACTAATGGAACGAATCCAGAATCCTGAGTACTCAACTACTATGGATGTCGCACCTGTCATTTTAGCTGCTCATCGTAACAACTACGAGATTCTTACAATGCTGCTAAAACAGGACGTTTCTCTACCCAAGCCCCATGCAGTTGGCTGTGAATGTACATTGTGTTCTGCAAAAAACAAAAAGGATAGCCTCCGACATTCCAGGTTAGAAAATTAAGATTTTGGTAAATAAATGTGTGATTTAGTAAGATATGTATCAGTGATGTTGGGGGTTTTGTTTGTTTATTGTTTGGTTTTTATTTTAATATTCTTTTTATGCAGCTTTTAAGAAATGTGATGCTCTATGACTTATGGAAGCCATACTTCTAGCTCTGTTGCTCACTGAGTTCTGAATTTTTCAGAAATTTTTACCAAATGCTGTCACGTTCCCGGGGACTTAAACACTCAAACCTGCCCACCCAGGGACACCACGTTGGACGTGACTAAAACACTCAGGGGTCTTTTCAAGTAGCTTCATTGCTATCAGTGTGACAAGATTTGTCATAAAGGTGGAACTGGGCTGCGTGAAATAACCACACAAGAGACAGAAATACCTTTTTCTTTGGGGGTGCTGTGACGGCTCCTCTGACCTTAAGGGTCTGCAGAGAGAGAGTGAGTGTGAGCATGTGCTGACCCTTTTTATTGAGGAGAAGCCACTCAAATGAGGCAAGAGGTCAGGTTTCAGGGGACTGAGTCTAGGATGTCTGCTGTCAGCAGGTTGACTGACAGCTAGGAAGGCCACACCCAAGGGCAGAGTAAGAGAAGGGGACACACAAAGGGCGTTTCCATGGAACATTCTGTCCCAAACAGGGCAAGGGGTAATATCACAAAGGAACAGGTGAGCGTAGCTCCGTCCCTGGGGATGTAGGAAGGCACACCTACGCATGAAGACACATTTGCGTTTTCTCTACCCTCAAGATCAGGGCTACAGTCTTCGGTTACTTAGAGCAACCAAATCACAGGCTGACCAACAGTGCCTCAGCTGACAAGGAGGGAAAGCAAATGCTGGTCATATGCTATATCAGCCTCCCACAAAATGCTAAATAATTAAGAAAATTCTTCAAATTAAGAATAAGGTTTATCTCATGCTCTCGAGGGAAGGGGTACTATTTGCTTTTTAGAATTATAGTTTATTAGTTCAAGAGAATTTCCAAGTTGTAAATAGTTATCACTTTCTATCTTATTTATTTTTAAAAAACACAACTATTGGGGCTGGGGATGTGGCTCAAGCGGTAGTGCGCTCTCCTGGCATGGCATGCGTGCGGCCCGGGTTTGATCCTTAGCACCACATACAAAGATGTTGTGTCCGCCGAGAACTAAAAAATAAATATTAAAAAAAATTATTTCTCTCTCTTTAAAAAAAAAAACACAACTATTTCCTATCTAAATATTTGACCTGTTATGCCTCTCAGAAAATATTCAAGTCTTTATTTTTTCACTATTCATCATCTCTTCCCATTTCTCCAATTGAAATATTAAGAACAATGGAGGAGGGGTTGATTTTAAAAAGTACCTACCTTACCTGTCTTGAACAGGTTGAGGAAGATCACACACATGGATATGTTGTCTAAGATGTCTGGTTCTGGACTAGATTTTGGAACTAATTTTCAGCATAAGCCTTTGCGATAGTTTAGGTATAGTTTTTCCCTACCAAAACACATTGGAATTTGATTCCCGAGTAGTGGTATTCAGAGGTGCCTTTGAGAGGTGATTAGGTCAGTGTCCTCATGAATATATTAATGTCTTTTTCAATAGACTGGGTTAGTTCTCTTGAGACTGGATAAGTTCTTGTGATAATGAATTAGTTCTTACCAGAACATACCTGGAACCACCTTTCAGCCTTTCTCACATCTCTCCTTTCTTCTGCATATACCTGCTTCTTTCCACTATGAAACTGAGCTGAGCAGATGCACTCTTGGAATTTCAGATTTGTGAACCAAAATAAACCCCTTTTCTTTGTAAATTATCCAGTTTCAGATATTCTGATATAGCAATGGAAAGTGATATTATTTTTTATGTGTAATTAAACATAATTAGTTCTGTTTCATGGTTGCCAAAATATTTAGATTGAACCATATGAAATTACTGTTTTAAAAGTACTTCAGACTTAACATAATTAATTATTGTAATTTATTATACCCCTTACGTATATATGCAAATAATAACTAAATATAGTTGATATAGTGTCAAGTTTAACATCTACTTTGCAAAATAGGTCTGAAAGTCCTAGGCAGCCTGTTGACAAACTTTTTTTTAAAGAGAGAGAGAGAGAGAGAATTTTTTTTTAATATTTATTTTTCAGTTTTCAGCGGACACAACATCTTTGTTTGTATGTGGTGCTAAGGATCAAACCTGGGCCACACGCATGCCAGGCGAGCGCACTACCGCTTGAGCCACATCCCCAGCCCAACAAACTTTTTTAAGTCAAGGATTGTCGTATACAAAATAAACTTTAACCTGCAAACCCTCTTCCCTCACTTCTTCCTCACCTTAAAAATAGGTTTCTATTGGATTGATAGTCACAAATCAATAAATTGAAAAAGTCACCTGGAATCAATTTAAGTTCATTTTCAGAGGTATAACTAGAAGTGTTTTCTGTTTTACAAAAACATTTATGTTTCTCTTTGATAAGACTTGGTTGATAGCTATGGCTATACCACTTTACTTTCTACTTTTTTTTTTTTGAGGGTTATTTTTTAAATTTTATTTTTTATATTGATTTTATTTTTTAAATACATGACAGTGGAATGCATTACAATTCTTATTACACATATAGAGCACAGTTTTTCATATCTCTGTATATAAAGTATGTTCACACCAATTCATGTCTTCATACATGTACTTTTAATGATGTCTATCACATTCCACCATCATTGCTAATCCCCTGCCCCCTCTGCCCTATCTAGAGTTTGTCTATTCCTCCCCTGCTCCCCCTCCCTATCCCATTATGGGTCTGTCACCTTACATCAGAGAAAACATTTGGCACTTGTTTTTTGGGGATTGGCTAACTTCACTTAGCATTATTTTCTCCAACGCCATCCATTTACCTGCAAATGCTATCGTTCTATTTTCTTTTATTGCTCAGTAATATTCCATTGTGTATATATGCCACATTTTTAATCCATTCATCTACTGAGGGGCATCAAGTTTGGTTCCAAAGTTTAGCTATTGTGAATTATGCTGCTGTAAACATTGATGTGGCTGTATCCCTGTAGTATGCTGTTTTTAAGTCCTTTGGGTATAGAACGAGGAGAGGGATAGCTGGGTCAAATGGTAATTCCATTCCCAATTTTCCAGGAAATCTCCATACTGCTTTCCATATTGGCTGCATGATTTTGCAGTCCCACCAGCAGTGTATGAGTGTGCCTTTTTCCCAAAATCCTTACCAACACTTATTGTTGTTTGTCCTCATAATAGCTGCCATTCTGACTGGAGTGAGATGAAATCTTAGAGTAATTTTGATTTGCATTTCTCTAATTGCTAGAGATGTTGAACATTTTTTCATATATTTGTTGATTGATTGTATATCATCTTCTGAGAAGTGTCTGTTCAGGTCCTTGGCCCATTTATTGATTGGGTTATTTATTTATTTAAAAAGAAGATTTATTTTATAATTTAATTTTTTTTGAGAGAGAGAGAATTTTTAATATTTATTTTTTAGTTTTCAGCAGACACAACATCTTTGTTTGTATGTGGTACTGAGGATCGAACCCTGGCCGCACACGCCAGGCGAGTGCACTACTGCTTGAGCCACATCCCCAGCCCAGATTGGGTTATTTTTTTTTTTGCTTAGATTTTTGACTTCTTTATATACCCTCGAGATTAGTGCTCTAACTGTTATGTGAAGGGTGAAGATTTGCTCCCAGATGTAGGCTCTCTATTTACCTCACAGATTGTTTCTTTTGCTGAGAAGAACCTTTTATTGATTCTTAATTTTAATTCTTGTGCCAAGGAGTCTTATTAAGGAAGTTGGGGCTTAATCCCACACGATGGAGATTAGGGCCTACTTTTTCTTCTATTAGACGCAGGGTCTATCGTATAAATTTTTCGCCTTTTAAAAACTTTCTACTTTTCGAAAAATACTTTTAGGGGCTGGGGTTGTACCTCTGTAGTGGTAAAGTGCTTAGCACAGGCTGTCAATGACCATCAATTACATGTCAGCAATTCCCTCTCCAAATTTCTGATTATACAAATTACATTCAAGTTTGCCCTCCTTTGTCATTCAGTTGCCTACATGTTATTAATCTTGCCTCATTTACTCCAATTCTTTTCATGGTTGCCAAAATATTTAGATTGAACCATATGAAACTACTGTTTTAAAAGTACTTTGGACTTAACAGAATTACATCTTTCCATATTTGTATATTGGTGTGAATGAAACCAGCACTCCAAAAAGTTACATAGAACATAATCACCTAGCTTAATAGGGCCTTAAAAAAGTCTTCTTTAAGATGTGGAGACTGATGACTGTAGTAGTGTATACTTTTTAGTAAATATCACCACAACCCAGTATTGTAATATTTTCATCACAGAAAGAAGTTTTCTCGGCCCATTTATGGTCAGTCCTTTCTTCCATCCCTATCTCCAAGAGATTTTCTTTTTGTATAGTTTTTCTTATTCTAGAAATTACATATAAATAGAATCATGCAAAAAGTTGACTTACATCTCTGTATTCTTTTACTTAATATATTTTTGAGGTTCATCCGTACCATTGCCTATATCAATATTTATTTTTTAGTGTTGATTATTACTCCATTATATAGATAACGTGGTTCTTGTTCATTCGTTTATCAACATTTGAGTTGTTTCCAATTTTTAGCAGTGAACATTGACATACAGGTTTTTATGTGGACATATTTTTATTTCTATTGTGTAGATATCTTGGAGTAGAATTTTTGGATTGTATAGTAATTATAAGTTTAACTTTTTAAGGAACTGTCAAATTGTTTTTTAAAATGTTTATATCCTTTTACATTCTCATTAGCAAATATGTATGATGATTCTAATACTGCTGAATATTCACCAACAATTGATACTGTTAGTCTTTTTGATCATAGCCATTTAGTATCTACACGTACTTTCACCTTATGATTTTAATTTGCATATCTCTATGTCTTATGATGTCAAACATATTATGTGCTTATTTTTAGTTAGCTTATCCTCTA